TCAATAAAGATCTGGACTGATGACCTCCAATATTATAACTGATCTACTTTCTATGTCTGCCTTGTGCTGTGATGTGCAATCAAATTCTGCTGTTTATCTACCAAGCTCTTTATTTCACCAGAGCAAGAGGCTGTTTGTGACGCAGTCCGCCTTCTCCCATTAAAACCAGTGTTAAAGTGGCTTTATACCTGGACTCCCTGGCTCAACAGCAAAGACTGCTGAAGGCATCCGCTAAGTTCTTATATAGCGTTTTCCTCTTCTGTCAAATAACTCTTAAAGGTAATGCACATTCATTATTGATGAGTAGAACATCAGATGCAGCCCTTGTTTGCATATGTCAGTGTTTTTGAGTATAAAAAGCCATTTTGAAAGAATTTACCTTCGTTGCCAGATGATTTGGACATGTGCACCTTGAGTGACTTTTGGGTGCTATTTACATTATTGTGTCTGTAGTTTTAAGGGTTTTATTTACTTAGTCTTGTATTAAGTCAGTGTACTTTGACTGAAACCTCGCTCTTTTTTTCACATTTGTGAGTGGACACAACACACTCTGTAAGTATTCAAGCTTTCATAGCCATCCCGCACACACATAAACCCAGGGCACGCACAGTTTTGTGTTAATGTTGTCTCTTTGTTCTCACTAAGAACAGCAACATCTCAGTGCGACTCTCCAAACAGTTAACAGCAAGAGCCTCTGAAATGTTTTTTTTTTTTACCTTCAGTAAGTAAGAAGCAGAATTGTTTGACATAAATGTAAAATGTTGTGTGCTTAGAATATATATAAGACAGCTCTTTTGTTAGTATTGTGTGGATAAACTCAAACTACTGCTGACACTGTTGAGGAAAAGTCACTGACTGTAGTCAAGTTAAACCTCTGTGAACGTAGAATATAAATCATTTGAAGATCCATTCTTTCTCTGGAAAGTTAATGCAGTGGTAAAGCAGTCATCACAGAGTGTGATTTGAATAATAAAAAATCATCTGTTTGTTTCAGGTGTATATCGTGTGTCTGGCAATGAGTCTTGGTGGTAGAAGACTTGATAAAAATAAACAGGACAAGTTTAAGAAACAATCGCATTTATTACAGATTGTAAGATTGGGTTTTTATTCTGTTTGTGGAGATTTGGCTTCATGTAAAAGAGGAAAAATAAAGATTGTGTAATAAGACGAATGTTAATTATCTCTGTTTCGCTGACTTGAGCCTGAGAACAAAGTTTGTCTTACTCCTACAGGAGAATTGTATTTGTATTTACATTCACATGTGAGGGGATGACCAGAGAGAGGCATCATTGAATTAATTTAATCCTGCACTGGAACACGTGGATCTGAACTGAGTCTCCAGTGTTACCATGATAACCTGATCCAGAGTCTGGAGAATTACCCAAGAGCCATTTCATAGCAAAACATACCGAAAATATATTTTAAAATTATTCAAAAATAAATAGCTATCATACCCTGAAGAACTATTAATGATGTTTACGACTGTCAACCTGGCTGTGGGTGACCCTGTCAATCCCTGAAATGTTCCCAGTTTCTGATTTCTGAGAAGAAGGCGTCTCCAGGGCAGACGGTGTAGTTCACCACCTGTCTGTGGCCGTGGATGGTGAAGTTGGCAGCCAGCCCTCCTCCATCTACAGCACACTGGACCAGGCGATGGCGCAGCAGGTCCATGGCGTGGCGAGACGGCAGGGTGGAGCTGTAGTTACCGATGATCGACACGCCATAACCGATGGCATTGTGGCCTCTGGTGTGCGTGCCAAGCAGGTTCCAACCCCTGCCTTCATATACGTAGCCGTCAGAGCCGACCACAAAGCTGAAGGTGCAAACGGATCACAGCACATGATCAGTGAATGCAGTGTACAGCAGCTGGTTTGAGGTAAACTTAACAAATACTTGTGCAAAAAAATTAAATACTGCTTACCTGTATCCTATGTCATTCCAGCCGCGGTCCTCCTGGTGGAAACGCTGCATGGACCTCATGTCCCGAGAGCAGTTTGTGAAGGATAAACAGGGCGAGGATGGTTCATAGGTGTGATGAACGTAGAGAAACCGAAGGGGAAGGGACAGCGGGATGGGTGTATCCTGAGGGGGTTTTGCCCCCCACTGACAGCGAGGGATGATTTGAGGGCAGTCTGTGTAAAGGAGGTAGAGAAGATAAGAGTTAGGATACTAAAATCACAACAGAGTTTGTGTTGTCACACCGAATCATCAGGACGAGATTCTGGAGCCATGAACTTGCAACAATGATACATCAGTTGATATTGGCTTATTGATCAGCTGTATTTAAGTAACCAGCCAGAGACATTGTTCAAATATCTTTACAACTGTTTCTACCCACGAGACAAAATATCTGGATCTGGCTCTTTCCCAAAATATTTTTCTTTGAAGCCTTGTTTCTACCTAATTATGGAATTGGGGAGAAGAGAACACCATCAGCACACTGATCGGGAGAGTGACTTTAACTAATCACATCCAAATGACAAGTATGAAAAAAAAAAAAAAAGCATTGACTTAGTATTTCTTAGGAGAAGTTGACACTTTTTGAAAGGAGGTTTATTGGAGTCACAGATTTTTCTGAGCTAGCCCCTACTGGCCATCAGTGGTACTACATGCTACGGTACTTCTGCATTGGCTTCAGTTGCAAGCTGTGGTTGTTGCCACTTACTTGTTTGTGGAATTTGTTATTGCAAAATATTTTATTTCAGAAAAGAATGTTGTCTGATTGATGGTTTGTGAATCTCAAGACTGTTGAAAATAGTCATTATTTGCTCACCCCAGTACTTGTGCACAAATGTCTTCAGTCCATCCTTAACTGCCTTGCTCACTCCAGTGTCCAGAGCAATCCATTCTGTCTTCTCCAGCTTCCAGACCAATGTCAGTGTGTCCATCAGCTGGCTGTGAAGATTAGCCGTCTCCAGAATGGATCTAGAGAGCTCCCTTCGCCTCGGGCTAACATGGCTGGTCACTGCATCAAGGCCCCGCTCTTCACTTAGAACAAAACTATAGTAGCCCTTCAAAATCTTACTAAGGGCCGGTGGCTGTTCAGATGCAGACAGATTGCTGAGGTCTGTGCCCAGTATAGCTCCATCCATACCCCCATTGATCATGGCATCTGTGGCTAGAGTGGGTGGCCGAGACAGCTTGAACACCTTAGGGCGCTCCACGCTGTCCCAGCACCCGTTTGGCCCCAGGCGGAGGGATGCTGGGAAGTCCTGGAGGCTGAGGAATGACAGGCCCAGAGTCCTGCCTAGAGTGAGCGGAAAGATCCCAACAGCTGTCGTCCCCTCCATCTTGGCTTTCAGCCCCGATTCAATTCCGAGCAATAAGGGTGCGAGAGCTACCGTCGTACCATCTGGAGCGAGAACCACCCCTCGTTCTTCTCCGTAGTCTGTCACAATGTGGTGGATGGCCTTGTCAAAAAAGCTGAAGGACGAGACATTAAGAATGGCCGTCTCTAGACCATCAGTGTCAGTGAGATTATTTGAAGCACCCAGGAAATGGACGGTCATCATATCATCATGGCCGGCGGTCCTCCGCAGGGCCCGAACCAGAGCCAGCGGACACACACCAGGGTTGGAGTCTTCAACCTGCTGCACGGCTCGGATGAAGCTGTCCATGTTACGCAGGTGAACAGCTGACAGCAACACAGATGAGGGGAAAAAGAAGTAAAGGAAGCTCATTAAGGTGGACTAATGAGTCGATAGAAGAAGTGTTTAACTCCTCATCGACATAATGTCTCTTTAAATCCTCAATCATCCTAAGAGCTTCAGTCGAGGGCAACTGGACCAACCAAGAGAAATGTTCTGCTGCAGATGTTAGGATCAATGGCATTATATACAACAAAACTCGTTAGCTTGAATCCCATTTATATATCTGCAAGAATATGAGTTGTATAAAATCAGCTCAGTTTGAGACTATAAAAAGCAAGATTGAAATATATTTTGATATTTAAAATTTAAAATAGCTAGGCATTAAAAGCATCTTGTTTTTTCCTTTGGTCCATCAGTTTTACTTTTTACTAAAAACATGTTCTTTCCATTATCCATTATTAAAACAGGATTAAGTTGGAAACTCTCCCTGAGCCTGGTTCAGCCCACTGCCACCTGAAAAGGAATCATTTGGATTTGCTGGGTTTCTATCTACCACATAGTATTGTATGGTCCTGACCGTATACAGGTGAAGTGACCTGGGCTGACTTTGTAAGCAGTTTCACAATCATGAAAGAAGACGACTCATTTGAAAATGAGAGAGGAATCGTGGGCTGTGTGGTGGAAATGTGCAGTTATAAGAAAAAGAGCTCTGCTTATCCCTATTGCTGAATGAAGACAGTCCTTCAACAACCAGAATGTGTTGCAATCAGGCTGACCTGAACAGTCCAGTAGCCTGGTGTGGTTTTATGGCAAGTGGTTGTGACTATGAAATGTTCCTTCCTTCACAGCTGATAATATAGACGGAAGCATACAAATGAACCACAATGTTTTAAAAGATCCAATATTATTCTTTGTCTTATTTTTAAACCTCAATAAATCTCCATTAAAGTTAATAATGGGAAAAGTGTTTTCCCACTTCTTTATGTGCTTGTCTTGCTCTTATGTGATACCAAATCTAAATAAATCAAGTTAGTTTGTATATATGTGCAAAAAGCAAGATTGGATAAAGAATCAATTTGTAGAACAACATAAGAATAGATATAAAATGCCAGAAAAACAAGACAAAACAGGATAACTGCTTGCAAGATTTTAGACTAAAATAAAGATAGAACACTAAAATATTAAGATAAAAATACAAAAACATTGAAATAAATCAAAAGCCATTGAAAATATGTAACAAATAACACTTTATGTTAAGACACAGATGTAGGAATTTTTATGAATGTGTAGAAATGATTTCCTGTTGCATTCAAAAAAAAAGAATCTGCAGATTACAGACAACGAGGAATGCATCTCAGGTTTTCCATCACTAAAAAGAAACTACGCAGTCTAATGAAGACTGCAATGCAAGATAAAGAAATGTTTGCATATTTCAAACAACTGCTCTTACCTGTCGGCCTGCTGTCAACAGCAAAGAAGTAGAACGAAGCCAGAACAACAAAATTCAGTCCAAATAAAGACATGTTGCATCTCCTGCTTGTTAGCTGTTAAAATGCAATTTTCTATTCAAAAAAAGAACCAGAATTGGACTCTTCTGTTCCAGCTAAATCCTAAACTTTAAGAAATTAAGGAACCTTGACAACAATCTTCAACCTGAAAATGTCAGCTGAGTAGCACAGTTGTGTGTTCCCTGCAACTGAGAGGATTTGTGTAGGTGTGTTTGTGTAGGTGTATGTACTCCAGTCTTGTATCCCAATATGGGAGAGTACTCTTTGTACACTGATTGCTCCAAATATTGATTTAGCCTACAGTGCAGCAAAGTGTGTCACGACCAAAGCAAAGTCTGCCCCCTTCAGTTTATCACAAAGTTCAAGACAAAAACAAGCTTTTTTTTCTAAATAATTCTGAGGTGTGACTCTTTTCTCACATGTTCTACAGTCTTGTAGAGCTTCTTTTGAACACAGCGTGTCACTCAATAAACACAACAGAAGTGAAAGATAAAGCAGATTTACGGTTAATGTTTACCACCACCACACGTGATGCGTGTGTTTGTTGTGTACTCATCAGTGTCAGGAAACATTTAAGTCACTGCTGGTTACACAAGCTAAATGTGTACTTTTGAAGCAGAGCGACGACGGAAAACAAGAACTGACCTGATTTGAGGTGGATTTTGTTATTGAAAGATGCTGCTGACATGTCTGTCGTCAATAACTCCAATAAACACACAGTCATAATAATTCATGTAATAATTGCCATGAATTAGGAAAAATATAATCTCAATCATTTTATGCACTTAAAAATGTTGTGAATAATCAAATGCAGTGCCTTTTATTGCTATTCAAGCCACCAGTTGAACAGCTCCAAACTTTTTGTGCTCAAATGGCTAAATTTAGCCCTTTTCCTGCCAAAACAATAGAAAAAATTAGATGGTTATGTTTTTTTTTCTCTATATCAGAAAAGAAAGAACATTTGCATGTTTAATTTATTTGTTTGTTCAGTGGTACATCATCATTTATTTGCTGATTAGATGTTGCATCATAGATTTGAATAAGCAACCCTAACTAATTAAAGTGATCAAATAAATGTGGTGCAGTAAAAAGCACAACGTTTGAATAAAAGCAGAGTGGAAGTATAAAGAAAAAAAGAGGACACTGTTGTTGGTAACAGTTTATAGAACTATTCCAGTGGTCCCAACATGGTACAATTCTATAAACATGCACCCTGTAAGTAAAATGTAACATAGAAAAAATTTAAGAATAATCAAACATAGAACTGATCTTAGACACAAAATGTTCTGAGAATGTTTTATTTACAGGTGCTACTGGCAAAATGAGACATCATTACAGTGTCTTTGAATAACCATTATACTTATGTAAACCATAGAAAAATATTTATCTTTGGGGTTTTTTTGCCCTTCTGTTTATTGCTTGTTTGTTTATTTTTAATTAAGGCCTTCAAAAACCATTGTGACCATGACAAATTTATTCAAATAAATAAATCAATGAAAATGCAAGTGTCCCACTCCTAGGGTTTTTTCCTGGATGATGTTTCTGTCTGTGTTTTATATGTTTGTATGTCCACAGAATAGCCTTATATATCCGAGTCCAAACCATGGACTTTGGTGCAGCATGGGGAATGACATCAAGATGGAAACGCTGGAGGACGACTGAAAGAGGCGGCAGATATCAGAGCTGTCGGAGCGATGAACAGGTGTCATTATATGCAACCAGATTTTATAGGAATGTAATAAGTGAAAAAAAAATGACCAAAAGTCGTGTAAACTCCAACCCTGAGATACCTCCCAACCCTACCTCCAACCACCAACCTGCTCTGCTACGCTCTTATAGGCATTATTAGTATATAATAATAATAATATTAATAATAATGAGAAACTTTTATTTGTTCAAGTGTTCCCCATCTATGGAAGACTTAAAGTGTACATAAGAACAAATTCAACGAAGAAAGTGATATCATTTATAACGTTCAACTATGATGCACATGTAAGGAAACACAAGCTGTGACAGTCTGTGTGGCTTGTCTTTGTTGATTTATTTCATATTAGGCATTTTAGGTCTTCCATAAAAGGCTAATGAACAGAACACGATGCATTGTGCAGATTTCTTTGGAAACTGCATTTTTCACAGCAGGACAACACTGTATTTGACATGGGGTTCAAATAGTATCAGGGTCTTGCACTGTGATCACAACACAACTGAACAGCCTCAAAAGATAATAACTACATGAATTTGAAAGTTAAATTCATTTTAATGGCTTGTTTTAAAATGATATTTCATCACAGGTCTTTATGTTTCAAATTATCACTGCTGATTCTGTCTAGACAGTAGAATAAGCTTGAGGTCACAGCATGTTTCTGTGAGCCCAAGATGGTTTTTAAAAATGTGCAAAAGAGAAAAAAATCAGAGTGACCCTCCCCTTCCTGATAACATAAGCTAAATATATGGAAGCTCTGAAAGGCCAATACACATGATTAGAAATGTTTTAATAGTTTAATAACCAATTATATAACCTGATCATTACTCATTGGTAAATGGTAGTGTTTAAATATTGCTGAATATAATATGATGTAATTTTAAAACTTTGTTTTGTTTTTCAGAGTCGCAAATTTAGATTTTAGGATTTCAGTCACTTTGACTTTAACATAATTTATTTTTTTTTAAATCTATGAATAGTTTTAAAATGCACTACTTGAAATTACCCAAAGGAAATTTGAAATTGGAGTTTAAGCCGATTTTCTAAATACAGTATTTCAATAAAATGAATTCTGTACTATTCAAACATCACCAAGTGGTGTTCAATCGAGATAAAAGTTCACAACTAGATCTACAGTTTGTAATAGGATTCAAATCCTTACAGCCTGTCTTTGCTTCCATATCAAAAATAAGCAATTTAAAAAAAATCTTTATGACATAAATGTCGAAGGTCGCTGAAACTGTTGACAGAGGTGTATAAAAGCTAGACACCAGGATATCCAGGTGATTGGTTTAGTTTGTTCCTTTGTGCCCAGTTACCTGCTCAGTGACCTGGTGGAATGATTGATCACTGTGAGAACATATCAGTACAGATCAGTCAGTTGGGAGGGATTAAACAGTTTATCAAAGCTGTTTAGATACTACACATTAAAGTGTGAGATGAATACATGCATATACTAAATGTGTATGTGTGCATACACACACACACACACACACACACACACACACAC